AGAAACATCTGAAACCTCGAAGCTGGGCTGCAAGGTGCACATGCAAAGAAGCCCTAGACGACCAACACAACGATGCGGCTCTGCAGTCAAATGCGTACTATCGCGTCCTCGACGCCACACTCAGAAGCTACTAAGTAGGCATCAGCGGGTGCGCAGATGCCCATCTTGCCACACATCGCGCGGTGCGGACCTACCGGGAACATTAACAGTTGACAGGTAAAGCAAACAGGCAAGCTTTGCACGGATTGAACAAACCAAATGGGAAAAGAAGTAGCGGCACCTCCATCCTATCGCATCATCCTGCCAGAAGCCATGGCTCTCTTTTCGGAACCATCCAGTATGGCACCGTTTGATATGCACAGTACGGAATGCTACGGGTCCTCGGCAGGGTTCCCATGTCCCGCCGTGTCAAAAGGACATGGCTTCACCAGGCTCGTGACTTTTGCTAGAGGCGATCGGCTTGTGAAGTACGGCAGCGCAGATACTTGGCAGGTCGGAACATTACGCCAAAGTGGATTGTGGAATAAAGGCCGTCATGTTATTCCTCTAGAGTGACTGAGCCAGTCACATGGTCGCACCAGCCGTCGACAATGCAACCTTGACATTTTTATGCGCCGCTGTCGTGCAGCTGGAGGAATATACCACGTTCTGTTCGGGACCATGGCCCGAGGTTGAGATTCATCTTCACTCTGCACCGAGAAAGCAAAAAGAAAAAAAAAAGAAGAAGAAGAAAAGAGTACCTCTGGCTTGAGTATCTTGAGTTCAGGTATCTGCTTGCCCCTCCCCCGCCTTTTTCTTCCACCTTTGGCCCCGTCAATGACCCTGGTACGTATCCATGCAAACCATATTCCTTCATCGCACCAGTGCCAACTCTGTACAGAGACCAATGATAGCTGGCAGTACTCCGTACATGTGCTAAAAATTCGCAAGCTCGAGTACAAATGCCAAGGCCACCTACCTACTAGATCTAAGTACCTACAGGCCCTCGGAGATCCGGGGAGCATCAAAGTCATCTAAGCCAGTGGGAGGGCTTGGCTTCCGTCTTTGTCGGCCCTTTCGTGTCACATTACGGGTCAACGCCGTCATGATTCCGATTAGTATCAATGTCCATCAAGAATCCCCATCCCAAGATACGGGTTTCTTAAAACCCACGCGACGGCATGACGACAGGATTGACCGTCCCGGCTTGCCCAACGTGGAAACCTAGTGCCGAGTGTGAGCGGCAAACTCGTCATGTGTACAGAGTGACTGGACCCTTTTATGCCCGTATGCCCGTATTTATGCCCATATTTATGCTTGGTGGGATTTTGCTTGCATTCTTCTTATTCCCCCACTGTTTTGTCCAGTGGTTTTGCGCTCCGCCTTTTCGCCACGTTTGGTGGTCGCGGCGAGTGATGTCATCGACGACCGACAAGGAAGCCACGTTCAAAGACTGTGGGAAAGATCTTCCGTTCAGCGTGCACTTTCTTAAGCTTCTCCAACCATTACGGCTCGGCCTCAAAAGTGTTGCAATCCTGGGCTCGACTTCCATCTTCATATTACAAATTTGCGCAGAGAAGGATCATTTGAAGATTGTGCCACCAGCACTGATGATGCCTGCCGTGTTTGCAGGTACGACACGCTGGGAGCTACGGTCGAGTCGACTGCGACTTCCCAATGTGTTGACGGCCGAAAGGCTCAACGCGAGGTTTTTAAAAATGGCAGTCGCTCATGTTATTAAAAGTATCAGACGTAATGCTTCAATGTTTGTCAAGCGCGAACGTGAATGACACCAGACGTATTATAACCACTGGAGCGTCTTCCATACCATCTTCTCCAAGTTCTCTTCTTGCATCATTCTCATCTGTCATATGCTCCCAGAACACAATTCTTCTTACAGTCTGTCATACAAACCAGCCAAAACAGAGCCCGCATCTTACTTCATTCTTGAAACCTTGTACACAACGTCATTCAACATGGTGTGTGCTGCTGCTCTCATCCTCGCTGGCCTTGCGGCCGCTTCTCCCATGGTCGGCCAGTCCGGCGGCAACTATCCAGCAAAGTCCTTTTCCCAGGGCTTTCATCTGGTCGTCAACAACACCGACCCGTCCCGCGAGCTTACAGAGCCTGTTCACGCCATGTTTCTTCAAAGCATTCATATCGGCCCTCCCAACAGTCTTGTTGGCACCAGAACTACCAGATCGCGGCGTGTCTTCTACCAAAACGCAACCGAGGATGAGTTCCGCTCTGGCAATGCTCATATCCTCTCTGACGCTGCTTCCCAAAGCATCACGTACGGCCTCAGCTTTCGCTTGGAAGGCGATGCCGCCCAAGGTTTTGTCTTCAGACTAGACGCCGGTCCAGGCCAGAAAGGTGTTGCCATGTCCCCGAACCACCATCCTTGCGCCTTTCTCAATGTGCCCGGGCTAGCAATGTGCAACCGGCCCGTCGAATATTACAGGGGCAGGAAGATGAATATCCTGAAGATGTTTCCCAACCCCACCGGCAATCTTTGGAAGATGCCAGAGGAATGTACTCCCGTCCGTCTGCTGCCACAGTGCATTCCGCTTCCAGATGCTCAACAGGGAGTCAGTCCCAGCCACAAGTTCGTTCAGACCACGCACTGCTACAAGAACGTCTCTGCCATTGACTGGTCCATGTACACACCTTGTGATCAGGTTCGTTGAGTGGTAATGGTGGGGAGAGATACTCGATGGTTTCACGATTGCATTCCTACTGGACTTGATGGTATAGACTGAAAGGCATCATTACATTAGTATTAATATACTCTGTCGTATAATGTCTCCTCATGAAGCTACATGTGTAGTGCAAAGAATGAAATGATGGTAGAGATGGGGGAAATTTTGCCCGCTTTTTGCGTCTTTGAATGAAAACGCAGGCAAGCCAGCTGCAGCGTTGGGCTGCAGCTTGCAGCTCTGCCTCCCTAGAATAAAATATCCGAGGCCGTCCCTAGGCATCTGATTCGTTCAAGACAAAATACTCATTGGCAACTAGTTGGTAGAAAAGTGACTTACTAGACTGCAAATCACGCCGCCGGACCAGAGTCCAGACCAAGGGACGCTTGAGATCTCAGTAGATTGCCTTTTTTTTAAAAAAAAAAAAAAAAAATCAAGGATCAATTCCTGGTTCTTTTTGTTTTATGATATCCGTGATTGGAGGGTGTGAAACGACCAGTTTTAAGCTCCAATCATAATTGATCTCTATTTGTACAACTTTGAGTCTGGAGATGCTGTCAATAGAGTTTGGTAGCTTTGAAACTGGCTATGGTTCATGTAAGTGGTTGGGAATTGTGTGCATGCCAACCACTCTTGGCCACATGAAACATGAAAATTTTGGGGACTTGTGCGACAAATTCCATAATCTCTCCCCAGAAAATCTAGTTTCTTTTTCATGCTATTCCGACAATGAACAGCGGCAACGATGATGGCAGCCGAAAACGCAACGTGATACGGAGTACAGGGTACCCAACTCCCAGCCCCCCATCAACCAACCAATCAAGTAGCCGCGCATCGGCGCGCCCCAACATCATTTGAACGTCCAACCTCATTCTATCTCACTTTATCATCACAGGGAAGCCCAGCCAGCTTTCACCCTGCATCGCATCATCCATCAAAGAAAATCGCGGCCTATACAGCCCGGCGGCACTGACGTCAACCAAAATGTACGCCACATACAGCATATTATCGCTGCTGTTCGTCGTGGGAGCATGTACGTGAAACAGTTGAACACACAACGCGTGCCTGGCACTCGCTAACCCCACGGTAGATATGCTCTTCACCGGCAGCGGCGAGTCCTTCAACGTCGGCGCCTTCCTGGAGTCAATCTCCCCGGCGGCCTGGGCGAACCTAGGCATCGCGCTGTGCATGGGTCTGTCTGTCGTCGGCGCAGCATGGTACGAACAACGGCGCGGACAAGGAGCTGACTTTGACTGACTGTGCGCGCAGGGGCATCGCCATCACCGGCTCGTCCATCCTCGGTGCGGCGGTGAGGGCGCCGCGGATCCGCACCAAGAACCTCATTTCCATCATCTTTTGCGAAGTCGTCGCCATCTACGGCATCATCATGTCCATTGTGTTCTCGTCCAAGGTTGGCTATGCGACGGGCGCGGCGGCCTTCTCCGCCGACGCGTATTATACCGGCTACTCGCTGTTCTGGTCTGGCATCACCGTCGGCATGTGCAATTTGGTCTGCGGCGTGGCGGTGGGCATTAACGGGAGTGGTGCTGCTCTTGCTGACGCTGCCGATGCATCATTGTGCGTGGTTTCTTCATTTTTTGGATTTGGGCCCTCTTTCCCCCTCCTTCTCAGGGAGGCGGTCGTGTTTCCTGCTTCTGCGTGCTGACTTTTGTTGGCAGGTTTGTCAAGATTTTGGTCATTGAGATTTTCAGCTCGGTGCTAGGCTTGTTCGGTCTTATTATAGGTCTGCTTGTTTCGAGCAAGGCCAACTCGATGGACGGCAGTGGATAATGAATGACTCGGGGTTGAGTCAGCCGGCTCTTTTGTAAGACAAGGGCGAGGGTATGTATGGTATCCTGCGACATTGGCATCACTGATGAACTACGCGTAGCTGGGCAAGCTTGGAATAAAAAGCTTCAGAATATTTCACAACTTGACACGGTCCGTCTCGAATTCGCGCCATATTCGTCGTGCTACTGATTACATCTGTGCACGGCGTCCTATCCTCTGCGCGCGCCTTCTGTTTTACCCCTGCGACTCTGGCTCAACATGCGTGCCGAGTATATAACCGGGCATGGAAGCGCGAGAGACTTTGATGACTTGTCGTGTGTTTACTGCGTGCAGCTATGCCGGGGACCCATGGCGCAAAACACCCCGTCTACAGCAACCGAGCCCACGGTACAGAGTACACCAGGGCAGGGCGACGTGCTTTGGTTATGACTAAAATTAGGGGGCTTGGGACCCAGCGTGGCAATATGATGGCTGTTATCAAGTTGCATGGTTTCCTCAAGCTAGCTTCGTGGTTACAATTGGCTGCTGTACATGTTATAAAATGCAGCAATACTCGTACATTTCTGCGTCAAACTCGTCACTCTTATCCTCCGTCACTATCGTCCTTTCTCGTGGACTGCCGATATATTTCGGGAACCAAGGAATCTCACGGCTCAGTTTTTCCGGGGCTTCCCGCCAGTAAGGAGCAGAATGCAAGACATGTATCATGGCGTAAGAAGCGCGGTAATCTTCCAGCAGCCGGCGTAGCCTGATTTTCAAATCAGAACCTTGCTCTGCGGTACACCATGCCGCAATTGTGGACAGAGGAATGTGGTGTGCGCTCAACGGGAGCTGAGACTTGGATTTTTCCGCCAGCGTGGCGGCATCGGCGCAGAATGCGGCCCGGTCCTCTGCTAGTTGCCTGTCATCAAAGTCTCTGCCCGATGCGCGTAAAAAGGCATTGAAGTTGAGGCCGATGGCGATGTGAAGCGACTGTGCTTCCACTTGGATGGCCTGCATAAAGGCGTCGTGTTCTAGTTTATCCTCGACGGCCAATTCATGCATTGGGTTTACATCTTTAACGCATCTTGGATAGGCGCGCCTGATCATGTTGTATATCAATTCGATTGATTGCATGTTTTCCCTCGGGCGTCGCAGCAGCTGCGGTATAATCAGGTACACGCTGATGTCAAGACAGTAGAAGTCGTACGGCCAGAGCGGCTTCTTCGTCTCGCACTTGTGCCATGGCCGAGGCGCTAGATGGCGCGGCTCGGCCGTTGCATCAAACACCTTGAATATCCAGGGGTAAATGTGAATGTCACTGTTGAACACGCTTGACCGAAGCTATCACGTCCCTCGTGTCAGTGACTCTTGGGGGAAACGGGTTCCAAGGGCCGGTCATGGAACTGGACAAGAAGTAGCACTGGTGGTCCTGTACACGTACCAGTTGTATTGCAGAAAGTTTCAGAGCGTCGTCGGAAAACTGAGCTTGATCTTGCAGTTGTACATCTTTATTCAACACGGCGGTGATCAAGTGCGCCAGCCCGTCCATATGGCCGCGAGACTCATCAGCACCGTCAACCAGCCACATGTGGCAGGAGGAAAGCACAAACACGGCGAGAAGGGTATCCCTCTGGTACCGGATGACGGGGTTATCCAAGCTCTCGCGAAGCGCGCCCAGAGCAGACGTGTACTTGTGAAGAGGCCCGGTGCTTGAGCGGCACAGTTGCAGCCGCGATAATGATGAGGATGATCCCACTGGCGCCAGGGACTCTACAATGCCAACCAATGCCGCAAGAGACGCATCAAGCACCGGGGAGTGGCCAATGTGCTGGACAGTAGACTTCCTCACTATGGCACCTAGATTATATCCGGGATGACGCGCCTCAAAGAGACCGACGATGGAGTCGGCCAGCTTGCTCGCGGCGTTGCTGGGCGGGCTGGCGACGCGCGCAGGAGCCGCGGCGTGCTGCCGGTTCACGACGGAGAGCGAGGCCGGCTGGTGTTTGAATCTAAACCGCTGCTGGCCAACCCCTTCACACGGGAGGTTCTTGCGGGCGCACAGCGAGCACTTGGGCCGGGCGCAGTCGCACTAGTTTGCACGATGGGCGAGGCCTCGGTTAGCCTTCTTTTTGGGCCGGGGATTATGGTGGCGGCATGGTATAACTACCTTTTTCTTCCATCTTCGACAGTTGTCACAGCCGCGATACGCCCCCATGGCTAATACCAAACCAGGGCCGGGCCGGTTGTTGGGGAGATGCGCGAGGTGGGTTGGGACGATTCCATGGATGACAAAGGCGACAGACAACCCACGCGGTGGCGGAGGCTCGTTCCTTTTTTTTTTTTTTGAGCCGTCAGCGACAATCCCGGAGCGGGTCAGCACATGCAACTTGCAACTTGCAGACCCGACCCACTGGGTATCTGTTCAGAGATATTTGTGTTGCATTTGAAGAGTCGGGTCTGGTTTGACAGGACTGCGATTTTTGGAGCGGGGTGGTATTGCAGGTTTCAATGTTCAAATGTCTGGTTGGATCATGGCGTTGAGATGTGGAGGCAGCTAGAACTATGTTGGCAACGTGGATTGGTGCCTTAGGCCGTGACTCTCTCCATGTACTATATTCACATGCAGGCTTCCATCAAGTTACATGAATCCTGCATGCTTGACTGAACCAGATGCCGCGACTTGGTGCAGCGAATAATGGCATCATCCCGAGTCCTTTGCTGAACAAGGCTGACGTGAGCGCGCAATGAATTCCGCCTGGCTTCCGTTTTGCCTCGCCACAGCAATTCTTAGCTTTGTAATGGCAAACTACGTACTACCGTGTTATATGTGGGGCTTCTTGTTCCGATGGAAGCAGAGGAACCTGGGGTACGGAGTAGAATAGAACGGAAGAATGTAAAACATGAGGGGATCGACCAGAGCCAAGGCCGTTCAACTGGTTCCAATGTTTGGCAATGGCGGAACAAGTGGGTCTCCGCCCGGTACCCAGATTGACGGAATTCGGCATGTTTCCGCCGGTGCGCGGCCCCACCCACTGCCGGGCCCCAATCAAACCCGTTCACATCCACGGTTGATTGATAGCCATGAGACGTCTATGCAATTGTGCGATTACAACAAAATTTGCAAGACAGCAGGGCCAGCCGACGGACGTCAAGGCTAAGTCGATGATGCAATGCGCCAAGCTTACCGACTGTATTGCAACTACTGCGATTTGCATGGCAACGACGGCTCAGTTGCATCGAGTCCCCCGTCGAGAATGTGGCGGTCAACCTTTCAGATAGCTGTCTTGCTGAACCACAGCTCTGGTACGTGGCTTGGGAGCTTGTCCAAATCTGTGCTGTACCACGCGGACTGGATTTCGGGCCTGCCGGCAGCCGCGCCACGATCCATCCACGTTGGACAATTTGGGAAGAAATGCCACCCGCCCAAAAGGGCTGAGAAGGCTGAGATGCGCATCAAGCTTTGCTGGCTGGACTACCGCGGATGGGGTCCTGAACCAAAGCTCTGGTACGTGGCTTGGGAGCCTGTCCAAATCTGTGCTGTGACGCTGGATTTCGGGCTTGCCGGCAGACGCGCCACGATCCATCCACGTTGGACAATTTGGGAATAAATGCCACCGCCCAAGAGGCTGAGAAGGCTGAGATGCGCATCAAGCTTTGCTGGCTGGACCATCGCGGATGGGATCCTGCCACCCTTGAGCCGATTCGAGGAACTATCCGCTGCGCCCCCCCTCCCCCCCCCCTATCCGCTGCGCCCCCCCCCCCCCCCCCCAAGGCTTTGATTACATATTGGAAAAGATGGGATGCCATGTGGGAACACGTGGTTTTGTTTAAAGTTGGTGCCCCTCTCGTACTTTGGCAAATCAGAGAGCTCGCGCAAGGTCTGTGGTGGAAAGCCATTGACGTACGCCTCGTCCTGACCCACATGTTGGGTTCGAATGCGCGGAAAAACACCCGTCCAGCTGCCATTTACAACACCCAGGCCAAGGAAAGCGTCAATCCGCTGGGGCCAGTGTCGAGGCAGCGTGAGGACTCTGAGTTGTGGGAGCGCGGAGCTGGCACGCCGAACTGACAAGGCACCAGCATTTCTGGTCTACAGTGTGGCGCACGGCTTCTCCAGATGCTGGCACTGGGGCTTGTGACGTCTGGCGTGCCACGCAGATCCACAACGACTAGGTTTTTTGGTGGCTCAGCCGTTCATGAGAGATGGCGGATAGTTCAACATGTCGAAACCAGGCCCAATGGAGAATAAAAAGAACCAGACCCTAGTTCGCCATGACCTGGCTCGTGCCTGTGTCTCCATCAAAGCATCAAGAGTCAAGACTGCTACTACGTAGTATCCTCGCAAGTGCTGTCTTTTGGCATGACCTTGAGATGACTCGGCCCGTCCCTCTGCCTGATAACAACAAGGTCAAGGATCACCCCAGCTCAACCGACGCTACAGGAGCATCTGCATCGGCATCTGCATCTGCATCTGCATCGGCATCGGCATCTGCATCTGCATCTACGCACAGCAAACGTATGTAAAGCCCCCGAGACGAACAACCAAGCATGGAAACTAACCATGTCCCCCAGGCCACAGGTCGACCACCACCATGACGCCCGAACAGCTTGCGCGGAAGCGGGCCAACGACCGCAACGCGCAGAGGGCCATTCGCGCCCGGAGAAAGGCCCAGGTTTCGCAGCTCGAGGCCGAGCTAGAGGCACTCAGGAACAAGCCGCACGCATGCTGTCGCAAGCTGCTCCAGCGGAACCTGGAGCTCGAGTGCGAACTGGCCATGATGAAGGGGAGCCCGCTGCCATGCCCGTCGGCCACGCCCGCACACACAGACGAAGGCACATCGACACACGCATCACCCGAGATGCACCGCGTCAACGGCCAGCTCGAGTCGCCAACGTATCCCCCCGGCGGCGACATGGAGGACTCCATGTCGGCGAGAACAAGCGCGGGTGCCCTGCTGCTGTCCCCCGCGGGCGGCTGCGACCTGGACTCGTCCATGTCCGGCGAGACCACCAGTCCAGCGGCCGTCATGTCGACGATATACCCCAAGTGCGGCCTGGAGAGCAGAGACGCGCCCCTGCAAGGCGCCGTGGCCACTGTCTACGCCGCAGAGAGCATCAACGCCACCTGCATGGCCAACCCGGGCCTCGATGTCGTCACGTGCGGACAGGTCTGCCCGCAGGCCAGGATACCCAGTCCCTCCATGCCAGACCTGTGGCCTGCGGGGACGCCGCCGTACGCCACAAACGCCGGCGGCATCATAGACGGCCTGGTACATGTAGCCCTCGAGGTTCCGTGTCAGAGCATGATGCCGGCAGCGAGCGCAATCCCTTCAACGCATTTTCCGCAATGACTCACGCACACGTCTCCAGTAGGAGAACATGACGAAGAATGAAGTAATGTTGGCACATGGCCTGGTGCGCGCCAACACTGCAGAGCACGTCGTTGTAGCTGAGCGCAATGGTTCACGAAATTTGTATGGTGTAACGATTATTCATTTTCTTATTTCTTACCAGTATTTTTTACCCAAAAAGCGGCCGTATCGGTAGGCGTCCAGGGAGTTGAGTCTTTGGAAATTGATGGCTGGGGGGGCAATGTATAATACAGAGGCATGTCAAATGTACTACAAACTAGACATGTGGAAATGCAATTTCGCAACTGGGACAAAGAATGAATCCATCATCTCCGCATGCGCTTCTGGGACGACTCTCCATCAATATTTTGCATCCTCACCGGCAGGTTCAGTGCGCCGCATGTGGCAGTCAGTAAAATGGCAACAGAACAGCCCGCCCCCAAGGACCGCCATGATCATGAATCACCATGTATTTACGGAGTACACGTGCTCGGGGCCAAGGTGGCTTAAGCCACTTTTCCACCAACTCACCAGATGCATGAACCGTCATGTCGGGACGGCCTCGAGGACGCTCCTGTTCTCCAGGATGGTCTGCCGTAATGCCTTGGACTCGGGGAAACATCGCCTTCGTCTGCGCCATGGAAGACATAGCATGCATGACACGGGCGACGACGACCAACGAACTGGACAGACTGCAAGGCTGCCGTGACCAACACGGGGGCGAGGAAATGGAATACTCAAACCTACACAAACGGGTCTCTCAAGTGCCACCGTACCGGCAGCGTTGCATTTAAACCCAAGTGCCCTTACATGTCTAACTTTGCCAAGTGCTGTTGCACATTCCAGCCAGAGTATGGCAGGGGGGGAGGTTTACCACCTCGATGGTTCTAATGATGCAAATGTGATATACAGTGTTTCCTGCAGTATGTCACGGTTCTCTGGTTTGGTCACGACCAGGCACACACACGGTGCTCGTATAACTGAGCCCTACCTAATGCAGCGCCGGCACGAATATATTGCGACAGGTTAAGAATCAAACAAATTAATAGACAAAAATAAAAATATGTCAAAATTTAATGCAGTCAACGGCTACTACTGCGGATCTTTTCGTCGTCCAACTTCCGCCACAACGCAATCCGCAGACGATACGCCGTCCTCGCACCCGCCATGAAGCCACGAACCACGGCAGTTTCGCATCATTTACGCTATCCATTCACATATTCACAGCCGCTATTTGAAGCCCGTCTCCGATAACCTCGCCCGGGGCTCGCTCCGTCATCAGAGCCATCATCCGCAGTTCACCTATTCTGGGTCTCGTTGCTCGGCCGAGTAACTGGGCGGCATGTTCCGGGACCCCATGTCCGCCATGGCCAGTCGCAAAAGAGCTCAACGTTGGGTAGCAAGCTTGGCTACGTTTTATCCGCTCGTCATCACGGTTCTCCTCACGGGTTCTATGTATGTACATACGTAGAAAAATGTGGATATGGGTGCAACCTCGATGAAATAGAGTTTAGAGGTTGAGGGGCAGCAGCAACTGACTGCACATGTGGAAACATGAGCACGGGCTGGAGAAGTACATACTGCTACTATCTGGCACTGGATACCTAGGGATGTATGACCTTTGGCGTTTGTCTTGTTCAACGGGTATAGAAGCGTAGCGTGTTGGTGCGGCGAAGAACGACTGCCCAACATGGAGGCCAGTCCATGATTCAGGTTTAGACTACTCCGTAGAGAGCATCGTGTATACTTGGATGGGAAACCGCCCGGTACTTGCTCGTATAGTTGCAAACACAAAAAAAAAAAAACTTGGCAAACCAAACCGTCCTGGCTGCAGGAACGCGGCTGCCTGGAGGGGTTGTCGACGCGGTGTTGATGAGCCATGTTCATTTGAGCCAAGTCCCGGAGCCCTGGAAAGCATGTGTCCCAAACGTA